ATTTTTGTACAAGTTTGGTCGATTGGTAATAAACCGCGTAAACTTAAAAAAATTTCGCACATCTCTTCATTTTGAATTATGTGTCGATATAAATAACTCATAGTTGACAAACTCATAATGATAATTATTAAATAATATTTCATAATAAATAAATCACAGTAAAACCACGTATATGATCGACACGACTCACAAACACACACTAAACAGGTATAATATTATAAAGGTAGGTACCTAACTTATTAAGGTATAAAATATAAATATAATATGATTTGGGTTTTCATAAAAGCTTAATCTTATATCTTAATTGCAAAATGATAAAGTATGTATAATATACAGCATATACGGACATACGGTAGATATCATACTAAACTATAATAAAATTACAGTAAATAAAATATTTAAGGTAGATAGCATATTGGACGAGTACCTACCGGTCGTTCTCCCGACCACGTTACAATAGTACTTAGATTATATTAACACTATCATTGAAATTTATTTTTTGCAAATAGCCCAACCATTTAAGAAAAATTTAATTATCTAAATTTATTTTTATTACTGAAAAGAATATAAGACCTGAAAGTCGAATTTGTGTCACTGAAGTTCGTAATCTTTTTTTTTTACTATTAATTTCATTTTTGAAAATTACCGTTATACAAGTTCCTATCTATCGAATATAAATTCTTCTTTGCATTCTCACTTTTATGTATTCATTTCGCTAGGTATTCATTGATTATGAAAATATCAATGTTTAAACATTTTTATTTAAGTTGTCATTTTAATTTATATTGCAAATTTAAATTTATCTTAGAATTGTTTTGTACTTGAATAATTGGATACAAAAAATCAATTTATGTGGAGGCCCTCACTATTATGTGGTTGCTTGAGGTTATAATAACCGTAAATACTAGAATTTCCACCTAATATTAGTATTTTCTATACATGGTTAGGTAAAATAATTTTAAACTATTTTGACTATTTTTGAGCGTTTTATAAACATTTAAAATTTTTTATTTTAGTTTTTTTTCTGTAAATATTAATAAAATAAATTTTCTCTATTAAAAATCTTAAACATTTATTATAAGATTTTTCATAATTTTTTTATCATAGCTTTTAAAAAATACTAAAGATACATGATCACGATTTTTTTGTTATAGGTATTTATTTAAATTTCGATTAAATTCGTTAAAATTACAAAAATTTGAAAATTTTTTATAGTTAACAATTTTTATAGTTATTAGTTATTACAATATTTAAAGCTAAGGCTTAGTTTATTTAATAAGAAATTCCGTAAAGTAAATCATATTTTACTAAAACTAGTTACTTGAAACATGTACGTACATTATTACATTTTTCTATACTCAATGATATTTTTAAAATATTTAAACTAATTTTAGCCTAGTTATGCTGTATTATATACCGTACTACTACGCCTACTGTATTACTTAAAATAAAATAATATTTTTACTAAATTAGCAATACACATTTATCATAATATGTATACTGATAGACAAAAACCAGTCTTTATTCAAAATCGTTTTTTGTATGCATTGAATAATTATTGAATAAAAATTTAAAGTAAATATTACAGACATTACAGTAATTTAAATTGAATACAAACTGCTAAAGTACAATCGATATCTACTGTATAGCAGATTGATTACTTACTTTTCTTTTTTATTTTTAAATATCAATTACTTTTAAAATTAACTTATTGAATAATATATTTTTGAACATTATCTAATTTAAAAATAATATACGCAGTACGCACACACACATTTACCATGCTAATATTTAAATATTTTAAAACTTCTAATTTAAAGATCTTAACTTTAAATACACATAAAAAAACTAGTGATATTTATAATTATATAATATAATATATAAATGTATAATATTATTATTATTATTTTTTTATTATTTTACTATTTTCATAATCGATACATTTAAATAAAATTTCTGTAAGAACAAGTTATAATGAATTGTGTATTAGGTACATTTTTAAACCTTGAGTATTAAAATTGAACTTCTAATAAACTAAGAAATAGTTTACAAATTTACATATCTTTTAACTCCTAAATTACCAACTGATTAAATTTTTAATTGAAACCCACTATCAATTTTGAAGGTTAAAGAATATTTTCTTTTCCAACACATGAAATAGACACAAAACTTACATACATCATTGTAAAATCAATATATTTCATAATCTAAAACATTAAAACGTTTAAAACTTATACTTAGAAAGCTTACAAAATAAAACAAATATGTTTAAAAAATTAGAACTTTATGCCTTTAACTTTAAAATCTCTAGACGATATTTTTACTTAAGCTGCACATAAACTTTTACATTTTAATTTTCATTCATTTCAACATTGATAAGTATGTATTGTAAAATTAAATTTAAAAACAATAACAAATCATAAAATTCAAAATAATATCCTTAGAGGAAATCCGTTTACAACTAAAATATTCTAGATATTCAATACGTATTATTATTTAACTGTCAATAATTTTTTTTCACACTTACTAATAATACTTATTATTATAATATAGTATCATTAAGATGCATTGTCATTTTTTCATTCGTTACCTACTCGTAAAATGAACTTAATGTAAATTTGATGTACATTAAACTAATACGTCACTTACTATGCTAACTTTTTTGTGTTTTCATGTTCAACATTTATTATGAAATAAGCAATATATTGTTTTAAGCTTTTATAACATCAATACTTTCCTCCAGATTAATTCATTAGAAACAAAATACAGTCAACTCTCGATAATTCGAAACCTTCAGTAATTCGAAGTAAATGCTCGGCCCCTTGAAAATCACGCGGTAATTCGAATAAAAACAATGCAATTAAGTACACTTGGTAATTCGAAATTAAATTTTGGGAAAACTGGCCACTAACACTTGACAATTCGAAGTATCATTCGTTCAATGCTCGGAAATTCGAAGTACATAATATATTCACCAAATGTATTTTATCTGTATGTTTATAATCTTTTTATTAATAATTTACTATACAATCGTGTATAAATTTAGATTATTATTGTCGATAACTATAGAATAATATCGTTAGAACCTTATCGTTTTATTTCTTAATCGTCTCTAATCGTAATTTTATTTAACTCGTCGAGTCGTCGATAGCCGTCAGCCGAATGTAGTTTTATTTTTGAAAAAATGAAACTAAATTCAATGAAGTAGAAAACCATTGCAGATTTCTTCAAAAAATAATAATCTTTTATAATAATAATAAAATTAACAATAAATAACTGTAATATGTATGTATCACCTAATTTACTGAAATAACTAATATGTATGTATGTACAATAATAAAAAAATGTTTTCTTAACTCTCTATAATTCGAATTTTTTTTGCCCTCTCGTTATTTTGAACTACTCAACAATTCGAACTCTCGGTAATTCAAAGTTTTTCAACAGTCCCGTCAATTTCGAATTATCGAGAGTCGACTGTATTTACATATATGTATATTGTAGGCCACATGGAAATTTTATACTATTTTTATTTTTATTGTATAAATATTAATAAATTAAACAATTTTCGCTCGAACAAAAAACTTGAAAATTTAACTCAAGGTCCTACCTCATACATTTCTTTTATAGCCAATAAAAATATCAAAATATTAAATAACACGATTTATTTTAATGGGTATATGAAAATAAAATTTTTTAAAACCCCAAAAATGTACAAATATTTTTATAACTAAAAATGTATTAAATGTTCAATTTGTTTAATTAAGGCTTGAAAATCTAACATATTATGTTCCTTACAAGTAATTCACACTAAAATCAAAAAAATCTCCAGAATATTTGAACAAAATTCTTTTTCATTGGCATTTGAAGTTCAAATTTTAACAAAATGATAACGTGCTTAAACAAAAAATAACGAATTTAGTAATTTCATTATTATTTGATAATATTATTCGCAGTAATACATAACTTATACCATACAAGTACAAGTTATACGTTATAGTCATTGGCTATTGTAGAATAATGCTCGATCGCCGTAGAATGCCGGAGTATTAACGGACGGACAATAATACTCGACAATAGTGAGAAATGAGAGTCCAATAAATACAGATCACGCACCACACGCACAGCATATATAACGTTTATATTTTATTAGGTACAATAGGTTCCCATTTTCAAAACCCATGTAGATGATATACAATTGCGGACGGTTACAGTATAACAATGAATCCCCGAAAACGACGCTACGTTTGCGGATAAGTGTTGGAAAATTCAGAAATATTACTTTAAGAATGTGATATTTCTGACTTCGAGTATTGATGCAGTGTTAACAAAGTGAGTTGTAATGATCATAAAAATTACAAAAACATATTATAGCGTTTTTAAAACAATTAAAACGTTTAGGTATCAGGCGCTTCCTATTTTAATTTATACGACGTATTAATATCTAATACCGTGGTTTTTAAACCGTGTAGTCTCGCCCGGACGAAAAACCCAATTGGAAAATTGTTGTTAATCAGTGGGCCGGGTAGACAGCGCGACACATTTCGGTAATGTTACACCAAAAGTCGTTGTCCGCAATCGTGTGATGTTTTGGGTACAAAACGAATACGATAAAATATCTCTTGTCGAACAGTGACAACCCGAAACTGTGGGTGTGACGTGCTGCAATAAAGGCAAAACGTCCGCGCAGTCGTATTTCGCGGCGGCCAAATTAAATTCCTATGCTCTCCGTAGGTACGCATTGTCGCCAAAAAACATTATTAAATAAAACACGCTTTACACCCTACGTGTAATACATCAAAGGCATTGTGTTCAAATATAATATTATTACGTATAGTACTATAGTACGTAATAAACAACACTTTGAGACGTGATGGTTATGTACCACACGGGAGGGCACCCAACGGTTGTTACCATAGGGACATCGACTAAACGTCGACACTTTTATTTTCGAAATATTTCTTACCCTCGCACGTACGCGTATGATATCGGCTCACTCAGCTCACTGTAATACGTATTACTAAACTATTCAAAAATTGCAAATAGTGAATCTTAAAATTACATCGTCCAGCAGCTGCAATCGGCCAAGGTTTTGTACGTTTGCACACGCCATTACACGGACTGTCGTCGCCAAATATTTACGGACATTAAATTGTCATACTCGCGACAGATATTCAATGTCGGCGTATTATTATTTTTGATTTACTCGTGAACTGCGAGGTTTGCACGTTTTGAAAATACTGCACTGTCAATTTACACACGTTGGTATCACACTGTATCTTGATTATTAGATAATATTATGTATTTTCTTCGTTTTTTTTTTTTTTACTCTGACCGGTCAACGTACATTTTTTTTTTTTTTACACCGATTGAATGTATTTAAATAACTTTATATTTTTTCTTTTCCAAGAGTTCAAACAAATTTGTGTTTATTATTATTGTGGTATAGGCACAGCGTAGGTCGTAGACTCGTAACTCGTAGGTATCTTCTAATTTACATTTTATCGTGTAAATTCTTGTACAATTAATATTATTGAGAGGACGCCAAACCCGTATGGCAAATTTTCATTTAGCAGAATTCGTTTTATGTTTTTAGCTTTGATATTAGAGTAATTTCACCGATTATCATGCTGAAAGGCGAGCATATTATATAGACTTTTATTAATATAATAGTTTTAAAGTGAGTTATGAGCATTTCATTTTTTACATAGGTACCTAGCTATAATTCACTTTGAAATGACAATATCAATAAAAGCCTATGTGATGGCTTAGATAATATTCTTACCTTTAAGTTTGAAAATACATAGGTAAATTTACTTTTAATATTAAAGCTAACAATATAAATTTAATTCTGTTGAACACAAATTTGTTATGTTGTGTATATGTAAGTCAAAGACATCACATGTGAGTGTAGTGTAATCTTAAACAGTTATTGAATAGGAATTTGTAAAAATAATCAGACATTTGTTGGTATAAAGTAGAACTTGATATGCACATAAACTGGTAGGTACCTAAAATTATCATAACATTTTAATAACAATGCTATGAATGTAGAATAAATTTTGATGATCATTATTATTTAAATTATTTTAACTTGATACGATGTTTGAGTTATTATAATATCTCTATCAGTATACAATATATATTATTATATAATAAGTAAAAACAAATATATATATAAAAAAAAAAAAAAACATAAATAATTATATTTTTTTTGCGTATATAGAAAAATGTTGACACGCAAAGAAGAATTATTTGTGAAGCCTTTTCAACAAAGATTATATCATCAGCACAAAGTCAATGTAAGTGTCTTTAATAATTGTCCTCTATACCGATCAAGAGGTACCTTAGGTACCTACCTAATATATTACATAGATCATAAATATATATTATATGTAGGTACTTGCTATGATTTATAATATACTTTTCGATAACGTACTAGAACACTTCTTTACTATACTACTTTTTGGAAACCAATTAAATAGATTTTAGTGGTTTAACTTTTATAAATTATATTAATCATTAATACATTTAACTACATTTAACTATTTACATTAATGGAAATAATTAATTAATAATGTTCGATGATGTAAAAGTAAATAAAAATAAATATCTCTAGTATTACATAATACTAGTAACGATTTGTATTAACTTTATTGATATTTTTAGGGACGGACAAATTTTAAAGAATTCCTAGACTATCACACTGTATTTGTTTAAATAATAATTTGAAATGTTTATTTATGTACCTTTATCTATTTCAATACGAGTAAAAGTTACAGCTTAACAAAATGAAATTGCCACAGCTATTTCAACATGATTTTTCGATAATATTGTTGTATACCACACGTTTCTGTACGTCATTATGTGTTCAACCACATACTTTTTATGTCTAATTAAAATATGAATAAATACAAAAATTTAGAATTATATTATATTCAATAATAACTCAATAATACTCGTCACAATCTAAACCAAAATTTAAAAGAAAGATGTATATTAGATTTAGATACCTATAGAAACATAATAATTATCAAAAATATGTATTCAAATATAAGACAATATATTATGTAAGTATTAAAAATTTAGAAATACTACTATTTTTATTATTTAAATTAGGTACAATATAATTTAACGTCTTTTAAAAAACATTTAAATGTATTACAGAATGAACTTACGATGGTTAGAACATGTCCTATTTTTTTGTAATTTTAGACAAATAAGAGAAAGACTACGTTTACGTACTACTACCTACTTCCTGATGTTCGATTATTGTCTTAAAAATACGTATAAATTCATAGATAAAATATACATAAACATTTATTTTGGTTATTAATTTATTATAATAGTAATTCTGAAAATAACCGCGTATTGAAACCGATAAGTATGCGGTGGCCACGACAACAGCAATGACACACATAATGAATTACACACACTACTCAGTACTCAGTACTCATTGCTATACGACACCATTTAAATCTAATATGAACTGCCTAAATATTACTCCTTAAAACATACTTGATGTTATGCTGAGTGCTCTATGCCTCCAGCCCCAAAACTGTAATGTCTGTAGCTGAATATCTCATTCTCATACGTTTACTAATCACGATTATAGTTAGACCCAGGTATAATTTTAGTATTTAAATATTAATACAAGAATTACATCGTTTAAGGTTATCATCAGTCATCCTCATCACCGTCAAATCGCTAAAAATGACTATACATGCATGGTTACTAGTTGACGACAAGTCTGTAGTAGACTACTAGACTGCATATGACGAGATTATTAGTTTTTCTATCTAGTAAATCTTATTTAAATTACTTCTAGTTTAGAACGACGCGTGATCTGTTCTTTCGATTATTCAAATTAATAACGCTATTACAATTATATGTATTTATTTGAGGATAATGTTTATGTCTAAATGATAATAATTTGTAGGCAAAATAAGATTAAAATACCGTGACAAAATAAATTTAATTCTCATGGGATAAACGTCATAGAATATTTTTTATAATTTAGTAAACACTTAGATATAGTTAAGCCAATGCTTATGGCATAAACAAATCAATCACTAAACATTAGTTTGAATCAATTGCAAACTAATAGTCTTTTAAATATTATTTAGTGGCCCATTACATTTTAATAAACCTTTAGAAAAATATTACTAGAGGTTTATTTTTTTAAATACTTTCTATGAATATTTTAGCTCAAGTCAGCCACTGCAAGGGTGGATACGACGCCACCACATGATTGGCAACACATTGTGCTGAAGACAAAGAAATACCAAAAGGAACGAGAGAGGTGTACACAAATATTATTAAACAATGGTATTTTGTGGAGACACTTAAGTGAAATAATGAGCACCAAACGAGTAGACAACAGCTGGGATTACGAACAACCTAAGTGAGTTAAATATTAAGCTCTGCATTGAATACATATGAATATGAAGATATTACTACTCATTAGGTATAGGCAAAGAGCTAGGTATAAACAATGAACGATTACTAATAGTAGTAGACCTTTAGTAGTAATAGTATATGATGTATAATAAGTACCTATACAAAATTTAGTTTTATTGAATTATTCAAGATTTAATAGCAAAACGCCTAAATGGTCTAAACCTTAATGAAACCTAACTATTATATTTTTCCTAAGTATCAGACAAAAAAATTACTCGTACTTTTAGGTGTTGTAATATTGTGAAAGGTAAATTATATTAACAATTATTATTCATGTACATTTTTTTTTTTTTTTTATTATTATGAAAAAAAAAATGTAGAAAATACTTCAATTGTATTTAAAATTGTATATTTGTATCAACTGAGAATTATTCAATAGAAACATTACATTACATACTAAATAAGGTACTTATTTGACTATTTTGTTGATACTGAATACTGAATAATATAAATGTATGATAATACGATATATTTTATACATTTAGATTATAGGTATATTATATTTTATATCAACCAGCGATATCTTACATTCAATATTATTTACAGCATATAAATTTCAGTTCCAAGAAAAAAGATAAATCTTAAAACAAAATTTGTAATTTAGATCATGACAAAATAAAAAAAGTCTGATCACATTTTTTTTTTTTTTGAATTATCTTATTTCCTACACAGTAAAGAACATAAAATCATAATGGGTAAAATAAGTTTTTATAGTGATGTACATAATATCAAAATAATTGTGAACTGACCCAACAAGTCTATTTAAGTGGGAGTTATCACTGGTAAAAAAAAAATGTTACGAGATAGTACAAAATATTAAATAGTGCCTAATTAAACAATGAGCAATATTAATTGTAAATAATAATAGGATAACATTCTTTACTTTTTAATATAATTTACATAAAAGTGCATATTTTAATTAATTTGATACATTAGATTTTTCCATAGAGTCAATTTATTTACAAAAAATAATAACAAGCTAACTGTAGATATTGAAGAATCATCAGAGTCTGGTAAAATACAAACTGAAATAAAAAACGAAAGGTGTATTGCATGTAATCCAAATTTGTCAATTTCTAAGGTGAAAATAATTGAACACAGATCCTCAATATATTAAGTTGATAACTATATTATATTATGTTAATAATTAGACCAACATACCAGAGGAGAGAATACCATGGGATCCACCAAAAAAAAAATTATCGAAAAAATTACGGAGTTTATCCATCCATAACGATGGGGTAAATTAAAAATTGTCCAAACTGAGTATAAAAATATTTTTAAATGTAAATTATTTAATTTTGTTACAGGTTATTAAAAATACGAAACATCAAGTATTGAACAAGTCTAGACAGAGCCAGAAAAAAAGTACAGTTTCAACAAAAAAAATTGATAACAAGTTAAACATCAATAATAACATAATGATTGAAACAAACAATTATTTAAATTATATTGAAATAAACGAAGGTTCGTTAGATCTCATTATTAAGTTTCCATCTGGTAGCAAAGTGTCAATGGTCGAAGGAAAAACAAAACGCATACTTCAACCAAATAATTGTCAATGTACAAGATGTCTTTAAGTTATTACACATAGCACTTTAAATTCATATTAATATAATAAGTAAACTAGTATAGTTAAATATACAATATTGTCATGGTATTTTTTAATTTACACAAAAAATGTAAACATGAAGTTAAAGCTATTTTTACTTTTTATGTTCATTCAAAAAATTTGCATATAAATAATAGGCTTGATTTAATATTTTACATTTGAATTACATTTATTAATTGTGACTGGAAGTAAAATTATGTTTTAATGAAAAAATTCTATAATACGTAGATTTAATAACAATACTAAATACATTTAAAAATGATCACGGATATAACATAATAGATGTAAAATTAAAATAAAAAGGGCGAAATTGGGCTAATATAACATAATATGTATACAAAAAAATTATCAATTAAAATAGCAAATAGTTCACAACTTTGAGATAGTCAATATCATTGAAATTTTAAGTATTCTATGATCACAAATAAAACATTTATTAGCTCATAGTAAAAATAATCAATTTTAACATGTTAAACAGTTGTTATATTTGATATCACTTTTTTCAAAGTATAAGTTATTGAAACAAAAGTTAAGATACATACATTGTTGTGGTAATATTAATTTTTGACTAATATGAAATTGTATCAATAAATTTAGACTGATGAAAATTTCAGTTAAAAAGTTAAAATATCTATATAATTAAGACAAAAAAATCAGCAAAATTAATACATTCCATATGCATCGAAAACATTAAAGTCAATTTTATGTACGATTATCAGAGGTTTTTTTTAAATTCTAAACAAGTGAATACCAATGAACTACATAATAATGATACTTATACTATTTCATGGTATGGTGTTACAGTTAATTGCATTTGACAATAATTTAATGTCAAGTAATTAAATAAGTTAACTTGGATTTGATGTGTGGTGTAAAAATATTTAAAATGTATAACATTTTAAATGGATAATAAAATGCCAACAAAATTCAGTTTAAATTTATAATTAGATTCACTGGAGCCAAAAGAATATTCAACATATTTTACTATGAAAATAAACTGATTTATTTAGATGCATCAAATACGCAAAACTAGAATAAAATGGCTGCCAATTTTATTAAAAAATTGTAATCAATAAATCATTAACCACATAATGCATACAACAATATAATATTGAAAAGTTTTTTTAATATATTAGATACACAATAATATGGTTAACATTTTATTTTCAATAAAAGCTCAATTTCTCCCTTCTTCTTTAGAGTTCTGCCCAAGGTTAAATTAACAAATTGATTCACTATTAATTTAAAAATGGACGTGAAAAAATAATATTTTTAAATTGAATTAGTATGAATTGATTCAAATTGGATAGAAAGCAACGCGAATGATTTGAAAAAATCACAGGTACAATATTTTAATGTCCAAGGGAGCCGCGTTTACTCAATATTGAATAATAATAATGATAGTAAAAAAAAAAAACTAAAATTTAAACTGAGTGTTTGTAGTAGCCGGATTGAATTCAAAGCATGATGGAGGTTGTGTAGGAGAAGCCGATTCCTAAAATAAAAATAAAAAAAAAAGATGAAAATTATCGATGCATTTTTTGATATATATTACCTCTGAGAAATATCTCTCAATAATATCGAATGCAACTTTGTAAATTTCAACACTTTCATGATTTTGAAGTTGTTCGATCTTATCAAGTCCTGTAAATATTAATTAATAAATACATTAAAATGGATAATTAACTAATAAAAATGAAATATAAAAATAAAAAATTACCTTCACATTCTTCAATTAAATTAGCTAAGGCATCAACATCAGGACCAGCAATTTTAAGCATATTTTGTAAACCGTCTAAAACGACTTGAATAACTTGACTATCTTGACAAGACAACAGAGCACAAAGAGGAGCTACAACGCCTGCACTGATAACACATTCTACTTGTTGACTATTTCCGCTGATAGTTAAATTAGTAATTGCCCAAGCTGCTTCTTTTTGTGTTTGGAATTCACTCTACAATTATTGTAAAACATAATATATAATATAAACATAGGCTTATTACCATAGATTAAAATAAATAACATTATAAATACACAATGCCATTGCAATAATTTACTGCTTATTATTTTAATTTAGATTTAATTCGCTGTTAAATAATAGTGGCAGGAGACAATACATATTTATCAATTCCTTTTGCCACAATGCACTATTAATCAGCCGAATCCAAATTAAGTTAATGAATGATAAATGATTGCAATATCGTTACTCATCCATAATATATTTAACCTAAGCTCATAATAAAAACTCATTTTATCACCTTTGATAAATGTGTAATTATTTTTGGTATCAGCCCAGCATCTATGACAGCTTGAACTTGAACTTGATTTCCAGCAGTAACATTTGAGAGAAACCAAACAGCTTCCTACAAAAAATATTTATATTGATTTAAGTTAAACATACTACATGCTATGTTACATCATACAATATAAAATATAACTATGACATCACTTATTATATTACATAATATTATAAGGTACAACAAACATATATAATAACAACAGAAAGGAATGTACATCAAATTACAATATACATCCCTTAACATATTCCTATGGAATGCGAACGGACTTAAAAGTCACAAACCCGAACTATTACAACTATTTATCGAAAAAAACATAGACATCGGACTAATCACCAAAACTCACTGCACTCCAATTTTCAAAAATTTCTTTCTTGGTTACAATGTATACCGCGCCGACCATCCCGACAGAACTGCCCATGGCGGTTCTGCCATTATAATCTCTTCAAAGATACATTGCCAACCCTTACCAAACCTCCGGACAAATACCATTCAAGCAGCAAACGTACAAATCATTCTAAATCATATTCCTACAACTATTTCCTCAGTATACTGTCCACCTAGACCTGCAATACCTGTTCAGGAAATTGAACAATTTCTAAACTCGATTGGAAACACATCACTAATTGGCGGTGATTTTAATGCAAAACACCCTCAATGGGGATGCCGTGTCGAAAACGCTCGGGGACGCATGTTCCTAAATTTCCTACAAAACAAAAGATATACAATCATATCTCCTCCAGGACCTACATATTGGCCATTACATCGAAATAGACATCCGGACATTCTAGACCTATTTCTATCCAATATTCCTAGACACATAACCTCCACTATAAAAAACTTAGATTACCCGACGTGTGACCACAGCCCAGCCCTTCTGCAAATAAATGGTAAAATATCTCTAAACCCTCCGTGACCTTCTCTAGCAAAAGGGCCAGTCAACTGGGACCTCTTTTCCGAGAATCTGCAAAATACGACTAACTTAAAAATCTCGTTAAAAACAAATTAACAAATAGAGGAGGCAGTCTAAAATCTCACAATTTCAATACAGACCGCTGTATATAACTAATCATTCGAAACAAACATACCTGCGGAAAATATAATTCTCAAAAACTCTCTTCCCCACCATATTCAAGAGCTAATTAAGACGAAACATAGGGCCCGAGCTGGCTGGCAACGATATAATCTTCCATCTGATAAACGTATATTAAACAATCTCACTAACGTAATTAAGAAACAGATTCAACAACACAAATCAACATTTTTCCAAAAAAAATATGAATCACTTAACACAAAAGATGGCTCTCTGTAGAAAACCACTAAAAACATCCTCCAAATTAAAGAACAATCTACTCCTTTAAATGGTCCAAATGGTCAACTAGCCATTTCAGACAGTGATAAAGCTGAACTTTTTGGAAACCATCTCTCAAAAACCTTTACTCCCTACTCAAACATAAACCCCAAACTCGAGCACCTAGATGAAATAAATAACTTTCTCGACAGTCCACTGCTTATGTCTCCTCCAGCAAAGCACACAACTCCAAACGAAGTTAAATATATAATAAATAAATTAAAAATAGGGAAATCACCGGGTTATGACCTAATATCCAACAAAATACTTAGGCACCTACCAAAAAAAACAATAATACTCCTTACATATATTTACAATTCAATGCTTAGGGGCTTTCCTATTTTCCCTTAACATGGAAATTTTCAATCATAATCCTTATACATAAACCTTCCAAACCCAAACACTTATCATCTTTCTATAGACCTATAAGTCTACTCCCTACACTATCAAAAATATTTGAAAAAATTATACTAAAAAGAATAAGACCTATAGTTAAATCCCATAACATAATACCTCACTTGCAATTCGGATTCAGGACAAATCATTCAACAATCCAACAAATTCACAGATTCATAGATCAAATCGCAACCTGATTTGAAAAAAAGGAATTCTACTCTGGAGTCTTTTAAGACTTTGCTTAGGCGTTTGATCGAGTTTGGTATATCGGCCTCCTCTACAAACTAAAACTTTTCCTTCCAGCACCCTACTACTTACTCATTTGCTCCTATCTTTGTAATAGGTAATTTGCAGTTAGACAAGTGAACTCAATTTCTTCTTACTTCTCTATACAAGCCGGAGTTCCACAAGGAAGTGATCTCGCCCCAGATTTATTTAATATAAACACATCGGACATTCCCAAAGTTGCAAATACAACTATAGCTACGTACGCAGACAATACAGCTACACTGGCCTCTTAACACAGACCACACACCCCTCACACTTGCCTCCTCTTCCCTTCAAACCCACCTTGACCTAATGAACAGTTGGGCAAAAAAGTGGCGAATAAACATTAACCCCGAAAAATCATTCAATGTAATATTCATTCTCCGTAGAAACGACTCCCCTCCACTGCAACTATAGGGAGTTGACATTCCCAAAACTTCTCAAGTAAAATACCTAGGACTTATACTCGACAAGCGTCTAACCTGGGGCCCTCACCTAAAATCTAAACGCAAAACATTAAATAACCGCCTACACTTACTTCGACCTATACTCAAATCAAAAATGTCAATTCACACAAAATCAATTTTATATAAGTCTCTCTTAAGGCCAATCTGGGCTTATGGCATACAAATCTGGGGCTGAGCCAAATCTTCCCAAATCATATCAACTCAATCCTTCCAATCAATCTCTCTCCGACTTATAACCTCAGCCCCATGGTATATAACAAACAAAGCACTACACAAAGACCTA